GTGGCCACGCTCCCACCCAAACCAGAGCCTGGGCCCCCAACCGCTGCTTCCAGCCAGAGCATGAGGGGAGTTTTGCTGCCTGTAGGCTGGGAATTAGGGTGATGTGAACCTCCGAAACCCTCTGACACTCCCCCATCACCATAAGCCCCTCTGAAAGCATTTCTTGCTGCAACCCTTCCTGCCTTGCCAAGCCCACGTGGCATCGGTTTGCTCCTGTGCCAGGACCGTGTTTCCGGCGTAGCGTGACAGTGTTCCCAGTGACATCGGCATGATTCACGACTGGTTTCACTGGAGGTTACGCTGGGAGAATCCCTTTCCAGGGGAAAGCAAAAACCCAAGCTAATTGAAAACAAATGCTGGTTGCAGCACCACTGGCATTTTAGCCCTGTCTTTGGGGAAACTGAGGCACAGACTTGCTTGCCTGCCCCCCCAAGCACATATTTAGTGTTCCTGGTAGCACTAAGTGCCCTGGAAACTCTGCGTCACGGTGTCTTAGCAAGCACTCCTCCCCTGCTGACCTCACTGAGCAGGGATGTCACCCAGCATGACATCAGCTTTCACCCAGCGTAGTCCAGAGGTGGCTGCTCAGCCACCCCAGATGTGCAGGTGCCACAGGGGCCGTTTCAGCAGCTGGATGAAGAAGGGCCCAAGCACTCAGCACAGCCCACGTGCAGTGCTGGGCGGCAAACCACAGGGTGAGAGGAGTGTGCCCAAAAAGCACAAAGCAAGGCGGCTCTCTGGATAGGGGACAGGGTGTCCTCGGGGCACCATGTGCATCTTTAAAACACTCTCACAACCAGAGCAAGAGGCAGCCATGCTGAAAACAGCCTCTCCACACCCAGCACTCCAACAGCCACCCAGCAAACCCCCTCCAAGGGCTGCCTCATGTTTGTACATCCAAGTGTAATCGAAATGGGGTAATAACAGGAAACCACCAAAAAGCACCCAAGCCAGTCACCTCTGCTGAACACCCTGCCACAGGGCCACCGGGGGCTGCCCCACAGCTCAGGGGCAGAGCAGTGGGCATGGGGTCTGGTACCGAGGCTAAACCGAATCACAACTGCACGGACTGCCAAGGTGGGGGGAAAACAATCCCCCTGCTGCTGGGAACACAGCGGGGCCCTGTCCCTCCATCTGGAGACAGAGCAGAGGAGGCAAGGGGAAGGGGTGGGAGGGAACAACTTCAGCGGGGTGCAGGGAAAAGCAAGAGGGAATCACAAATAACCCCCAAAGGCAAATCCCCCCTGATTTCCTAAGTCCAGGGTGGAGAATAAAAGCGAGGGGCAGCGGCAGCCCTGATTTCTGGGGAGCACTCACCATTTGTGGACGACGTCAGGCAGTGGAAGACGCTACCAGAGGTGCAGTTCTGCCAGAGGTCCGCCGTGTGCCCGCCATTCACCAGCCATTGCTGCAAAGAGACGCAGCCCCATCAGCAGGGCGCTGGCAGGCAGCTGTGTGCCCCCCCGCGCCAGCTTCGGCACCAAGTAGCCCCGGTGGGTACCGGCACGCGCGTGCTTTTCTTTAGAAAGGGCTTTGGAAAGTAAATACTGATATTTGCTTTTAGCTGCTTTCACCTCAACGGCAGAAAAACAGAAGCTCTTTATTCGCCTCAAACATGGACCAAGTCCCAGGGGGGACGCACACTCCCCTCCCCTCCGCCATCCTCGCCTGGTGCTTGGCCGGGCTATTTGAATGCTTCCACGTGATTTCTAACAACTCGGAAGATTTTTCTAACGTCTTCTACTACTATCACCACCCAAAAAAGAAAAAAAATACATGAAAGAAGAACCTGGTGAAGCAAGCCTGGAACTCACCAGTTCCACTAAACCAAGTCAAACCTCTTACTAAGTAGATGACATGTTAACTGGGCTCTACACCAGAACTGTGCTGGGAACCCTCTGTGCAGCATTCAGCCCTCAATCTTCCCACTGCTTTCAAAGCTTAAGCCTTGAAAATCGCCCGTCTGGGTTAGGAGACAGAGGTTGTCCCTAATTCACAGCCCCAAAGGAGCAGAGCTGAAGAGCAGAGCTGCTGGTGCTGTGGAGCCGGTGCCCAAACCAGCCCTGTTCCATTGGGGTTTTGCTCGGACTGGCTGTACTGGTCCCACAGGCTGAAGCCCATTAGCAGGTGGAGCTCCTTTATGAAAGAGGAGTGCAGTGTCCCCCCTGGGAGGGCATTTTGGGTGCTCTGAGGCTGCTCCCTGATGTCAACCAGCCTGAGGACGATGAGGAGATGGGCTTCAGCAGTGCTCTCCTCTGTACCAGCACCGGCTGCGGCACCTGACCAAGCGCCCCACCAGCTACACCTGACCGCACAAACATGGGAAGAGCTTTCTGTGCAAAATGCTCCAAACCCCACCGTTAGTAAGACCAGCAAATGGTAAGTAAAGGTTTCCTACTAACAGCTAGGCTGGAAAATAAAACACAAATAAAACCACCACTTTCTGGTCTTGCCATGCCATGCCACCCCCCGGTGCCGGAGGACGCCCCATACTTACGCTAACGATGGTGGAGACGAAGAGGAGCACCAGCACGGTGACGTGGAGCACGATGATCCCCAGCAGCAAAAGCAGCATCTTGGCTGTGGTGGGGGGCAGAACTGGAGGGGGAAAGGGGGAGAGGGATGCTGCTGAGCGCGTGTGAGTGTGAGTGTGTGTGTGTGTGTGTGTGCGCGCAGGGCCCGGCCCCGAGGCCAGTGGGAGCCGTCCCACCGACGGCAGGAGCCCGCCCGGCCCCGGGGGATGCCTGGGCAGCGCCCTGCTCCCGGGCTCCGTCCTGCCGGCCCCACCGACGGAGGGGGGTTCCAAGCCCTGCGCCCGGACTCACTCCCGGACACCCCCGGGGAGCCTCCGAGCCCTTTCCCTGAGCCTGCACCCCCAAGCCCTCTCACCGAGGGGGCTTCCCTGGACCCCCTCCTGTGGAGACTCCCCGGGGGGGCTCCCCCTGCCTCTCTACTCTGAGGGGTTGCTCCGATCTCTCTAGTCGAGGGCAGCGTGCTCCTCGGCACCGCCGGGGGAGGGGTCTATCTCGGTGCATCATATCCAAGGGTCGACCTGGGCCCCTTTCCGCCGGGATTGGGGGGGGATTGGGGGGGTGGGGTGTCCCCTGCAGACCGGGGACGATTTGCCGCCCCTTTTTCCCCTGGGGAGGCTTTCCCGGCCCATTTCCCCTGGCGACTCCCGAGGAGGGGGCGTCTAACTCGGCCCATCTCACCCGACGGGGCTACCTCGGCCCCTCTCCTCTGGGTGTCCCTCCGGCCCATCTCCCCTCAGCACCCTCAGCAGGGGCTCTCTTGGACCCTGTCCCCCCCGGGGGGCGGGGGGG